ACATTTAAACCGGGTCCGTTCCCTAGACCGATAACAACAAAAGCCCGTTCCCTAAGCTTTCAAACCCCGCTCTAGGTTTGGAACAAGTCACTAGCCTCCACGAAACTAGCAAACATTGCCTCTTGACTAAATGATGCGTATGCAATCAACAACCAAATGCACTTAAGCCCGTTCTCGCATCTTAATCCCATGCATTCTCAAATAATTCATCACATAAGAATTATATCACATGATTGCACACACAACATATTCACACCATCAAAGAATTCATACTTTAAATTATCATCATCATATTTATCAAACATTGCACACATATCTACAATATGTTCTCATGCATTATTCACACACAATCACAAGCAATGCACACATATTCACAATATGTTCTCATGCATTCTTCACATACAAAAAAAAGCGATGCACACATATCTACAAATATGTTCTCATGCATTTACAATATCGCATACAATCAATATGCATTTACACTTTAATATCATTACCACATTTATCAAGCAATGCACACATATTCACAATATGTTCTCATGCATTTTTCACATACAAACAATACGCATATATTTGTCAAAAGACTATATTTCATAATAGATTCCACCATCTAGGATTCACGCCATACGGCTACTCACGGCATATCATATCACAACATGCACAAGCTATACGTTATATAACAAAAGTATTCTGCACAATAACACATCAATCACACACATTCGCGACGGTAAAAATCAACACAACAATATGTTTTCAATTTTCTGCTATAATTGAATCAGGTACAGACCTCAAAGCCATTTTTTCTAGAAATAGCATCTCGTTAACTTACCAACGCTTCGAACGGGGGTCAAAACCGACTTACGGTTCAAGAGTTATGAATTTTCGAAGTTTTCTGAAAAACCATAGTTTTGCCTAAACACGGCTACGGGATTTTGCATTTTCGCCCGAAAATCCGACCTATTCAATTCTTTTTTTCGAAACAAACACATACTCATACTCACCTAACATATAGCAGTGAATTAGAACCATTAAACACAATTTCTACGACGTCCGATTTTCACTCAAATCTCAAACCCTCAATTATCCAAAAATGTCAAAACTCACAAACTCAATCAAATTCAATCAAACGAAATTCAATAATCACGGCTAAACATTACCCGACTAAACTACACAATTTATTTTGAATTCTAACCGTTCAAAACTCGATTCTACCGATTAAATCATTTATGCCCTAGAATGGAAAATGGAGAAAAACACTCAAACAAACTCAAACAATCCATACATAATCACATACATTGATAAGATAATGATATTTCACACCCTTACCTTGATTAAATCGGAGCTAGAAGTTGTTCTTGAGTTTTTCCAAGTTTTTCCTTCTTCTCCTTCTCTTTTCTCCTCTTTCTCTATTCTTTCTCTTATGTTTTCTATTCTTTTCTTTTCTCTCCAATTTCCCTTATATATCCTTCTCTTTCCTTTCCCTCTACTTTCCTTTTATATCTTTCTATTTTCTTTCCATCATAATTCTTCTCAAAATATCTACTAATTCATTTTCTCATAAAATTTCTCATCTCATCATTAATTAGAGAATATCTAGTAAATTCACATTATTCTACCAAATAGAATAAACCAGTTAAATCCATTAACTCATATAATTGAAATAAATCCAATTAATTCATTTAAATCAAATAAATCACATAATCCAATTAATTAGTACAATTAATCAATTATTGAAAATTGGGCTGTTACAAAAGGCATTAGGTAAATCATTGCATATTTCATCTCTAAACTGTTGATCAATTAATTTAATTTGATTTTGAATTTCAGATTTTTTAAGTTGAGAAGTGATTTTTAATAAACCCACTTCTTCTTTAAGAAAACAAATTTGTTTTTTTTTCTTAAGAAGAATATCTTTAACTTGATTAATCATCCTAGTATGAGGATCAGTAATAAATTCAAAGGTAATTCTTTTATTATTGATGATGGAAGTAATTCCTTTTTGATCAATATTAATCAAAGGCATTATTTTATGCAGAAAGGGAGTTCCTAATATAATTCTATGAGTTAAATTTTTTACAAGAATGAAATGAGTAGGTAAACAAATATCTTTGTTACAAACATAAGCATTAGACAGTTTATAATTAACCGTGAGTTTATCTCCTCCAGCTTGGGTAACATATTGGGTAGTTTTATCAAAATATTTAGTAGGAATAATTCCCTCTTGAAGGCAGTTTAAATCAGCGCCACTATCAATAAGGGCAACTTCATTTTCTAATATGAAATTTCTATTAATAACTAAAGTTATTCTAACAAACCATCCAATTCTTCTCCACTTTTCCAACAAAGGCATCAAAAGATGAAGATTCATCTATGAAGACCAGTTCTTCCATGGGATCGATTGATTCCCACAACTTTGACTGTTTGGCAGGAGAAGCCCAAACGGAGGACCCAACTGCAGAGGATTTCTGGGACGCAATGATTCAATCCATGGCCCGGAAAGCAAAAGAGAAAGCAAAAAATAAGAATCAATAAACAAAAGCAAAAGACAAGGTTAATGGAATAAGAATCTTGTCAAAAGCAATGGACAAGGCTAATAGAATAAGAATCTTGCCAAAAGAAAAAGTTGCTAAAAAGCAAAAGATAAGAAATAATCTTATCTTCTTATCTTAAGGGAATCTCTTGTCTTTAGGCATAAATGTATGCACTTAATTTTCCTTTTGTAAACGTTTTTGTGTTTTGTAATAATTAATGTTTAGTAGTTCACCTACTATTGTAGGTAAATGTTACCGGCTTAAATAGTAAGCCTTTGCTTCCTATATAAGGGGATTCAACTTTCTTTTATAATTAAGTTTTGAATAAATGTTTATTTCTCTACCCTTTCTCATATTATCTTTCTCTACCATTTCTCCTACTTCTCCTACATTTTCTGATCCTGCTTCTGCTGCTATATATTTGTGGTATCATCACCTGGTTTCTTCTAAGGTAATTTTCTTCATAATATAAATTGACATGACAATTCGTGGCTAATTTTGTTTTGTGAAAGGTTGATTAATCTTAGATAAAACTAAGTAGGTAACTTTTTCTCATAATATTTTATTAACAGGAATCCAAACAACCTTTTAAAAGTGTTTCAAAAACAAAAAATGTTTTTAGTGTTTTCTATTAAGTTCATCTTTTTCCCAGGGGAAGGGAGTTGTTGATGATTTCAAAAAGAAAATTTTTTCTAAAAACATTTTGACATCTTGGATTTGGGAGAAATCCCTCTATCCTTTTGGGTTGATAGTTAAACAATTCGTTGTTTGCCTAGATGACTTTTTATTGGTTGTTATTTCGGTTAATATTATGTTATGAGTCCAAGTTATCTATTTAGATTTAACTTTGTGTATTAACCAATCACAACATTCTTAGCCTGTTTCCTTTATGGATTCTGATGATGATAATCATCAAAACAATTTGATAAAAAATGAAGAACTTGTAGAATATCCAAAAAATCTGGATAAACTCAACATATGGGTTATACCCTCCGTCCCTCCTAATCAAATTTATAGATTTGATAAGCTAGATGTTTTTGCTCGTTTTTCTGTTAAAACTCTATAGCAAACAATTCAATTTTCCAAAGAAAAACAGACAATCAAACTGTTAACAAAAAAAGATTTGAAACCTTTTAAAAATTATAATTTTATCCATATTGGATTAGTTCAAATTGCTTTAAAACCTTTAACATTATTAGGTTTAAATTCTAGCATAATGGCTTATGTTAGAGATGGTAGATGCAAGGATTTCAAACAATCTTTAGCCATTATGGTAGAGATAAGTCTGTGTCATGGGCCGGTTTACTTTGATGTCTCACCAAATTTAACTCTATCTTTATCTGATAAAAGTTTATTAGATGCTATTCAGTTAACTGTTCATACTGATGGTTATAATTTCAAACCTAGAAGTAAGATCATAGCAATATGTTATAGAATCTACTATAAGGTTCTTACTATGCTTAATCCCAAAGCAAAACAATTAGTGTTCCTTGGGACTACTACTTTGGTTCAAACCAATTTGTTAACCTCCAATGTTGCAACCAATAGATTGATAAAATGGGATGAAATAAACTTTCCAGAGACATGGTCTCTTCCCCAGGAAATAGATCCTGAACCTATCCTTAATAGGGATATAGATCAAATAATTCAAACTACTGAAGGAGATCTAGAAATAAACTTTACTCCTAAAAGAATAGTTAGGATACCCAGATCTCTATCTTCTAGACACTCAGTTAGTGAATTTTGCACAGCTTCTAGCCAATTACCTAGACCTTCTACTTCTCAAACAAGAGAAGAGATAGAGGTCGTTGAGAATATAAGACTTAGCGAAAATAGAATCCCCCAAGGAATTTATCAAAAACCTAATACTCTAAGAGTAGAATCACCTACTCCGTTAGATATGGATTTCTAATTATAATGTTAGATTACTACCCTGGTAGCAAGATAAGACAACTCATCAATGATGAGTTTCAACATGAGAGATATACTCAATTCAGAGAATGTTTTTTTTTTAAATTTCAAAACCCAAATTAGCTCAATTTAAAAATGAGTCCTACTCTCAAATGAACCTGGAGCAAGATTTTATTCCTTTTGTGAAATGGTTTGTTAACTATTTCATAAGTAAAAAACAAGAAGAAATTCTTGTTTTACAAAGACCTTGGGAAAATATTAGAGGCGAAATACTGGAAGCCCCTTTTCCCCCTGAACAAACAATAAGTTTGAGTCAAAATACTGAAGCTACCCCTTACCTTAATCTTCACTTACAAAGAGTTGAACAAAATCAAGTTACTCTTAAAGAATTAAATTCTATCATCAGGTCTCAAAATTATACCAATTCCTATATTGTTTGCTTAGGAGAACAATTTATCTCTATGGAAAAAGATCTATTATCCATAAAAAAATCTTTTAGAAAAACAAATAGCATGTCAAGATATCATTATTGACCTCATAAATAAACCTAAGGACCAGATGTCCACATCCGCTATTTCGGATGTTCCTATAGTACAACCTCCTGTTCCCATAGAGGGATTCAAAATGGAAACCAATGGTCAAGAATTTGTTCATATTTTGGAACAAAAGTTAAAAGGTCTTAATATCACAGTTATGTCCCATGAAGAATATTCTGAGGATAATAATGAAAACCATATTGACCAACTAGCTGATATGTTTGCTAATTTAGATATTAGTAACCTTGATATTAATAATACTAATAGTATAAACCCTGTTTATTCTCCTAAACCTATAGAAAAGTATTATTATAAGCGTCCCTCACCGCAAGATTTGCTCTTTGAGGAAACAAAACCATTTCCAGAATTCTTATTCAGGAAAAGCCATTTATGAACGGAATGTGGATGGTCTCAATGACAAACAAATTATAGATACAATCCATAGAATGATCATGTATTCTACTGTCTGCAAGCAACATAAAAATTCAGACAGTTCTATAGCATCCTTTATAACAACGGGATTTGTTGGCCAACTTAGAGGCTGGTGGGATCATTATCTCACTGAATCCCAAAAATTAGAGATTCTTAATCATAAGAAAATTGTTAAGATAGAGCCAGGAACCAATACGAGAACTACTATGTCTACCACCACCACCGGAGAAGAAGACGCGGTCTATACTCTATGTCTTTCCATCTTACAACATTTTGTAGGAACTAATGTCCCCATTGGAGAGAAAATCCAGACACTTCTCCAAAATCTGAGGTGTCCTTCACTCACCCATTTTAGATGGTATAAAGATACTTTTCTTTCAAGAGTTTATCAATTAAACAATCCTATTTCTTTGCATTGGAAAGCAAAGTTTATTGATGGATTACCTCATTTCTTTTCTGAGAAGGTTAGACAATCTTTAAGACAGAAAAATGATGGGATAAATATAAATTATTCAGATCTTACTTATGGTCATATAATTAGCACTTGTGTTAATGAAGGATTAACTTTATGTAATGACATAAAGCTTATAAATCAACTCAAAAAGCAAAAGCTTTCTGAGAAATGCCAAATTGGTGAATTTTGTGAACAATTTGCTTTTGATCTTGGAAAATCTCCAGATAATAATAAAAAGAAAAAGGGAAAAATTTTCCGTAATAAACCTTATAAGGATAAGTCTAAAAATTCTTACAAGAATAAGAAAAGGAGTCACTACAATAAAGGTAGACCTAAAGAAAAATCTTTTGACCCTAAAGGTAAAAGAAAAGCCAAAAGGCTTGACATAACATGTCATAAATGTGGCAAACCTCCCCATTATACCAACCAATGCTGGACTAAAAAAGCTCTTAATGAGATAGAAGATGAAAAATTACGTTCTCAATTAGAGAAAGTTCTACTTCTCAATTCTGATTCTGAAAATTATTCTTCAGAAGAAGATATTAATATGACCTATGAATCCTCTACTGATTCCTCTTCTGAATATTCTGACAATAATGATTGTCAATGTAGTCAATTATATTATTGGAAATCAATTGTTGAGATGAATGTGTTAAATATTTTAACCTCAGAACTGGACCAAGCCATAAAAGCTATAGAATCCATTTCTGATAAAAAACTAAAAAGAAAAATGCTTGAAGTCTTAATACAAGAAAACTCTAAAAAAGAGTTTCCCATTTTTACAGAAGCACCTTACCAATTAAGTGATGTTTTGTCTAGATTTAGACAGTCTAACATCGGTGAAACTCCCGTTTCTATTATGGATTTAAATAGAGAAATAAACCTCTTAAAAAATGAGATATCTCAGATTAGAAAAGAAAACTATGGTTTATCTCAAAGAGTCACTTTTTTAGAATCCAATAATTCAAAGGTTGAAGAAATAGCTTCAACTAGTAATCCTTCACCTAGTGATGATTTCCTTTCTCTCATTGATAGAGTGATCTCTAAAAAATGGTTTGTTAGAATAATTTTAGTTATCAATAGAAATTTCATATTAGAAAATGAAGTTGCCCTTATTGATAATGGCGCTGATTTAAACTGCCTTCAAGAGAGAATTATTCCTACTAAATATTTTGATAAAACTACCCAATCTCTTACCCAATCTGGAGGAGATAAACTCACGGTTAATTATAAACTGTCTAATGCTTATGTTTGTAACAAAGATATTTGTTTACCTACTCATTTCATCCTTGTGAAAAATTTAACTCATAGAATTATATTAGGAACTCCCTTTCTGCATAAAATAATGCATTTGATTAATGTTGATCAAAAAGGAATTACTTCCATCATCAATAATAAAAGAATTACCTTTGAATTTATTACGGATCCTCATACTAGGATGATTAATCAAGTTAAAGATATTCTTCTTAAGAAAGAAAAACAAATTTGTTTTCTTAAAGAAGAAGTGGGTTTATTAAAAATCACTTCTCAACTTAAAAAACCTGAAATTCAAAATCAAATTAAATTAATTGATCAACAGTTTAGAGATGAAATATGCAATTATTTACCTAATGCCTTTTGGGATAGAAAGAAACATGTTATTTCCTTACCTTATCTTGATGACTTTAATGAGAGTCAGATTCCCACTAAAGCTAGGTCTGCTCAAATGAACCACGAGTATTTGGATTTATGCAAAAAAGAGATAGAATCTCTTTTAGAGAAAAAATTAATAAGAAAGTCCAAATCTCCTTGGAGCTGCACAGCTTTTTATGTTAATAATGCTGCCGAAAGGGAACGTGGAGTCCCTAGACTTGTTATAAATTACAAATCTCTTAATAAAGTGTTAAAATGGATTAGATATCATATTCCTAATAAAAAAAGATCTTTTAGATAGATTAAACAATGCTTTAATCTTTTCTAAGTTTGATATGAAATCTGGCTATTGGCAAATTCAGATTAATGAATCTGATAAGTATAAAACAGTATTTACTGTTCCTTTTGGATATTATGAATGGAATGTCCTTCCTTTTGGCCTTAAAAATGCCCCCTCTGAATTTCAAAATATTATGAATGATATTTTTAATCCTTATATAGAATTTATAATTGTTTATATTGATGATGTCTTAGTTTTTTCTAAAACTATAGATCAACATGTTAAGCATTTAAAAATATTCAAAGGATTAGTAAAAAATAATGGATTAGTGATATCTGCTCCTAAAATGAAACTTTTTCAAACAAATGTCAGATATTTAGGTCATGAAATTGACCAAGGAACTATAATTCCTATACAAAGAAGTATTGAATTCGCTTCCAAATTCCCATATATTATTACAGATAAGAAACAATTACAAAGGTTTCTTGGTAGTCTCAACTATATAGCAGATTACTATGAAAATCTTGCAAAAGATACTGCCATATTACATGCTAGGCTTAAAAAGAATCTTGTGCCTTGGACTGATAAACATTCTCAGGCAGTCCAAAGAATTAAAAATAAAGTTAAATGTTTTCCTTGTTTATCCCTTGCTAACCCAAAATATTTCAAAAGTGTTGAAACAGTTGCTTCCGACTTAGGCTATGGAGGAATTCTTAAACAAATTATACCTGATACATCAAAAGAAGTTTTGGTCAGATTTACCTCTGGAAAATGGAATCCTGCCCAATCAAAATATTCTACTATCAAAAAGGAGATGTTCAGATGATCTTATTAATAAAAAAATTTATTAAAAATTGATTGTAGCTCAGCTAAATCAATTATTGAAAAAGATGTTAAAAATCTTGTTGCTAGGCAAATTTTTTCTAGCTGGCAATCTCAATTATCTATGTTTGAATTTGACATTCAACACATCAAAGGTGAAAATAATTCACTTGCTGATTATTTAACTCGTGAATTTTTGCAGGGAAAAAATGATGACCCCGTATAGGGGAAGAGGCCGCGGTTATGGCCGTGGTGGAAGGGGGAGTAACAATATTTTACCCCAGCCAGAATCAAATATTTCTCTAATAGGGGATTGGACTACAGTCTACAAAGGTAGAAAAATGCAACAATTACCTACATCCTCATCTAAAAAGAAAGATATTCCTTCCTCCTCCTCTAATAAAAGTACATCTTACAAAGAAGTTGCGGTGAATAACCCACCTCAAGAGCAATTGGATTATTTTGAAAATCCAGTAACTGAAAAAATCATGTATATTGATGAAGGGGATATCAAAATAAATTCAAATGATGGATGGTCTATCAAAAATAGATACCTCAAATCAAGAGGATATCCAGGCCTACATGGAAAATATAGGCCTCATCTAGAAATTCTTCTAACCGTTACTGAATCGGTAACATTTACTCACCATTACCAGAATAATAATGCTGAAAATTTTATAAACTTCAGCAAATGTCACATTAATAAAATCCTGTTACCAAGAGAATGGGGTCTCAATCCTGTCACATTAATTACTAGGACTATGTCTAAGCTTTTACTCAAACCTTTTATTATCAAAATCCCAAGAATAAGCATTCTTGGTTTTTCTCAATTAATCCAGAGATGATTAATAGACCTATACCAAATTGGTTTTATGAATGGTGGACTAAATTTGGTCCGTCTTTGGAAATACTACCCAAAGAATTACTTGATTTATACAATCCATGGTGTGACAATAGCACACTTATTACAAAAAATTTATCTGATAATTTAATCACCGGACAATGTCCATTTTTGTTCTTTACCAAATTTCAGATTCCATGGATATGGAGATGGTTAATCGCCATATCTCAGGATAAATTCAACATACCCATTTTAGAAAGAAATTTCTTCTATAAATGGTGGAACAAAATGAGTTCCGAAGAAATCCAGAAAATAGGAAATTTAATTCAAACAACTATAGCTGAAGACCAAACTAATAAGGTCGAAGAGCAAAGCTCCCAACAAATATCTATGGGAAATCTGAAGAACTTCTTCCAGAGAAAATATCCAAATGAATCAGAAGATGAAATTATGGTTAGAACTTTGGACCATATGAAAAACCAATTCTTCTCCACTTTTCCAACAAAGGCATCAAAAGATGAAGATTCATCTATGAAGACCAGTTCTTCCATGGGATCGATTGATTCCCACAACTTTGATTATTTGGCAGGAGAAGCCCAAGCGGAGGACCCAACTGCAGAGGATTTCTGGGACGCAATGATTCAATCCATGGCCCAGAAAGAAAAAGAGAAAGCAAAAAATAAGAATCAATAAGCAAAAGCAAAAGACAAGGTTAATGGAATAAGAATCTTGTCAAAAGCAAAAGACAAGACTAATAGAATAAGAATCTTGCCAAAAGAAAAAGTTGCTAAAAAGAAAAAGATAAGAAAGAATCTTATCTTCTTATCTTAAGGGAATCTCTTGTCTTTAGACATAAATGTATGCACTTAATTTTCCTTTTGTAAAAGTTTTTATTTTTTGTAATAATTAATGTTTAGTAGTTCACCTACTATT